TCTCTAGCCAGGTCAAAGAACAATACGAAATGACCCCCGGGATTGTGCAACATGCAGTAGAGAATGGTCACAATGACACTGATCAGATTGTAGCCGTATCATCAAAGAAGTGTCAGCTGAACAAACGCATCAAAAAAGCATTAATCATTTATTCAGGTATGCGACAATGTTAACCGTGACAAAGGATAAGAACTTTGCACGGACTTGATAAGACCTGTCGCGCCTGTTGCTGAAAAACTACTTAAGCAACAACGTGAACCAAAAGCGTACTGTTCAATTCCAAACGTTACAACAACAGTGAACTACAGAACAAACTGCGGAAATCAGCCAGTCCAACTTGGAAAAGGTTCGTGATACATGAGCGGAAACGTCGGCATTCACTTGTCTGACTACACTGTTTGTGCTGTGCATGGATGAACCGTGTATTTATACAGTGTTCAATTATTATGCTGGCAATATAGCATCGTAATGAAATGCAGACTTTAAAAGTACAAAACATCTATCTGAAATAGCTCATCTCTACAACTGATAATCGATTATGTTAAATCAACATATGAATAAAATTACATGGAAACTTGAAGACTGAAAATTTTGCCATTCGGGAAATGACTTTGAGTTTGGATTGAAAAGTTTTCAATCAGTGTGCGCTCCCAGTGCTTCAGGTGTGAAATGGGAACTTCAAGCCTGAAAGCCATTTATAAACTGCAGACAACAAAACACAGCATGGAAAGATATAGGACTGGAATCACAAGAAAAGACAGGAAGACGAATGAACGGGTAAGAGCACAATCAAGAGTCTGCGATATCATTGCCACGGTGAAGAAGTTAAACTAACAATGCACAGGACACACTGCAAAAAGAAAAGACCAGACAAACATTAAAGTAGACTCGGAGAGGCAGTAAACGGCAAGTAGGAAAACTTCCAGATCGATGGCAGGATGAACTGAAGAAGTTCGAAGGATCAAAAGGGATGAGAATGACAGAAAGTAGAAGACCATTGCGATATCTTGGAGAGACCTTCATCCAGTAGTGGATCAACCAAGATTAATGATGAACAAAATGGCGCTATACAGCGTATTATAGGCTCAATAATGGAACATAACATTCTAGTAAGAGGGCCATTAACATCCAATTAATATCATATAAAATACTTTTGAAGATAATATTGCATCCAGTGCCACTAAGAGGCGCAAACAATATACATATAAGTCAACACTAGAGTAGCTATCGTACAACGCGTATTACTGCAATACCATATAACACGAAGAAATGATGTGCGGAGTCGAAACGCATAGTTGAATAAGGAAAATTTCATCATCCTTCATAAATTGTTGCCTTGAACCATAGATAGAAATCGGAGGAACATTAACTGTTATCAAAGTAGGCAATGAATCGACAACTCCTTCGACACCTAGGCGAAGAAAATATTACTTTATACTGCAGAACTACAGTACAGACCATTATGAACTAATGCATTATGTTGCTACTGCTATTAAAACTTGACAAAAATTTAGGAATGACATAATGAGTGTTTCAGATTAACATAGTTTAAAATTATCTGGTCTGCTACTCACTTAAAAACGAGGTTTTTTGCATAAACAAAGCGGTTTGATGCCTGCATATCATCTGTGAAATGACGATGCTAAGGCGTGTAGAACGAAAGTCGCTGGCAATAAAATCTCGACACCTGTATTGTTTAATTTCATCAACGATGAATCAGTAAACCTTCTGAAATAATTCAATTAGCGTACGGCTTTTCGTCAGACGATGACATCTGCATTCAATATTGAAAGTTTATAATAAATAACAGTACTATTATAATCAGAACAAGTGCACCGATACGCTTACCAATGGTGCTTCCGAAGAATTAAACCAAATTTAGCCCCACATTCCGAACAAACGTCTGCATCTTCCCAAGGCGGCTCTTTTTCTAACTGATCTTAAGGAAAACAAATGATTAACAACCAAGACTGTATAGCAGTTCGACGTGCGCGAATATATCGCGCCATAATAACAACACTTTTCAGTTTTTACAAAGTGAAAAACCAAAAGAAATACAACATAATATAAGCAACAGAACGTAGCAGAATAAACCACCATATCATATTTTGGCGGGGAAGCGTGATTTTTAAAATTTAAAATTCATCACCAGCCTATGATGATTTACTGCTGGATGAAAACCCTCCAGACCACTGGTTTTCTGTCATTTTCATCCATCATGATCGAATTTGATGAACTTCTTCAGCTCATCCCGCCATCGATATGGAGGTCTTCCGATGGGCATGCATGCCTGAGGGTTTGCATACATGTATGTACATGATCCAGCGATGGTCAGTTCTTTCTGCAATGTGTCTTATCCTTTGCTACTTATTCACTTGGCCAATGACATAAAAACTCTTTTATGTGCTATTATCCATGCATCTGTGTTCCTATCTTTTCTTGTTATTCCAAACATACACCTTAAAACGACGTGTTGCGTAGTCTGCAGTTAATGAGCAGCCTTCGGACCCATAGTTCCCAATTCGTTTAACAACAACATTTCTTAAATCCCAAAAGCGCTCCATAAAGTTTTATTCTTCTGTTGATTTCCCATCGTACATTCTAAGTTGCAGCGATGAGATGACCCAAATAGTAGTTCGGTACTTTTTCAAGTCTAAATCAGTTAACTTCTTCAAGTGATCTTCAGGATCATTTTCAGTCTTATTGGATGCTCAAATTGTTCAGCTCTTGAATTTTTCTTTGGAGTTCTTGTAGTGACCTTGAGATGATAAGAATAGGATCCGCAAATTGCAGGTGGCTTGAGTGCCAATTTACGTTTTGGCCCTGATTTTTCCAACTGAGTTACCTGAGAACGTCTTTTAGGGATGCTGTTAAGAACGTTGATCACCCTGTCGGACTCTCTTTCCGATTTTTAACTTGTTGTGATTTCGTGAATCTTTACACTAGCAGTTCCATTCTTGTAAATTAAGGCGATGAAGATCTGCATCTTTCATCGATCCTCTGATTCCTCAAGGAATCCAGTATAAAACGGAGGTAGACAGGGTGGAAAGCCTTCCTGAAATTGATGAATTCCCAAGTAGCGGGGAAGCTGATATTCGCTATTTGTCTGAATTAGTTGCTGTATCACAGAGTATTAAATTTGATGCTTAATCTTGGCTGCTCCTTTGACCGCACAGCGTCCAATTTTTCTTAAATTCTGTTCGTCAGTACCTTCGTAAAGGTCTTGTAGATGATTAGTAACAAACTGATCAGCCTGTAATCCTCTTTGCCTCCCTTTCTGTGGAGTGGAATCATCAATGCGATAGTCCAATCATCTAGAATTTTCAGGTCCTACAGATAGCGTTAAAACAAGCACACTCATTCATATCTTAGCCAGAGCTTCACCACCTGATTTTACGAGTTCTACTCCGTCTTCGCCAAGGGTGTTGTTGTACTCATGTCTGTACAGTTTCCTATAAAAATCTTCCATTGTTTATAGAATC